GTGGCCGCGTGCCCGCCGCCTGCGCGGGGGACCTCTGCGGCTCCCTGACACTAGCGGGTTGGCCTCGCTGAGTCAGCGCCACTGCCGCTGCTGCGTGGCCTTTCTGAGTCCTCGGGCTGCGCAACGCCTCCTTGCTGGGTTTGGCCTGCGGTCAGGCGGAGCGGGCCCCCGCGCGGTCGGTCGCGTGCTTCGCTGAGGTTCTGATTACCCAGCGCGGTGCCGGCATGGAAGGGCCGATCTGGTTCCGCCGCTGCCTGTGGCTCCACAGTCGCCGCTGGGTCAGCTGTTGGGAGCGGCAGGTGTGCTCCTATAGCTGTCCTGATTGTTAGACGGTGGGCTTCCTCCGTCCTGCTTCACCCAACCCAGTTGACTAATATTTAGGTGGGTTACAGTCAGAACTCCGCGTGGTGGAGCCTAAGCCGGAGGGCAAGTGCCCTCTAACGAGAGTACTCTAGCCTCTGGCTTGTGACAAGTACATCGGTGGTTAGCAGAGACTTTGCGACCCTGGTTTGTTCTAAAACACAAAATCAGAGTGGCTGAATACAGAGAAACGGAGTTGGGGGTGGAGCGTGGGGAATGCTTTGCTCTTTAGAACAATGCAGTTAGTTTAAAATACCACAATATCCTATGGCGAATGTGTTCCTTTCCCAACACAGGTATGCGTTTTCAGCTAATTCAGCTTCATAAATTCCATTGTTAGACTAGGCACCAGCATTATTGCTATCACCTATGCAAGACATGAGAAGCTGATAAGAAACATTGCCTGTAGCATCCAATTTACTGACTCCTAATCGGAACTGAGGCTGGAAGAATCCAGTCATCATTTAGTCCAATAAACTTCTAAGGAAGGAAACAAAGCTATGTCAAGACATCGATGCTACTGCATCAGCAACAATTTTCAAGTTCTAGTTTTTACCAGACCTTGTCAAATGTGGTACGTAGTCTACTTTCAATCCGAAATATATATTAACGTTTTCCTGGGATTCTGCGACAATAAACGAAACAGTGTTCTTTACTTCAATGTTGGGAATGAAATTGTCGGTTTGGGACGCTAATGATTTTCTATCTCATCTCTCTGCAGTTTCCTAATAGTCCTCCAGTTTAAAACAATACAAAATATCATTCAGTGTTCAATAAGAACCTGATAACTCTCTCTAAAGCTTATCCAGATGGATTGCATTTCCATATGGTGCTTCTATAACTTGTTGCTGTGAAATAGGACTACCAATATCAAATGGAAACAAAATCATGGCCCATTTTATATAGTATAAAGGAGGTTTTTTTTAAAAAAAGATGAATAAGTCTTGTATGCATTAGGATTTACATTCCAAGTGGGGAGATTTGCGTCAAAAGAAAACTAGCAACAGAGGACAAAATTTAAGTACTATGAAAGGTATAGATATTAAGTGATATGTTTATTTAGATCATCATGGGCTGGAGTAATAGGAAAAGATGGAGGAAGGAATTGGTCCTTGAAGGATGAGGAGGATTTTGAGAAGCAGAGAGGAGTCAAAATAAAATAAAATAAAATAAAAAAGATACCATAGGTCAAATCAAAAATACAGAAAAAGGAAGAGCTCTGGCTCCCCAGCTGTTGACGTTGTAGTTCAAAATCATTCTTAATTATATACAAAAATGAACTGAGGAACGTTACACAATGAATCAAAATTGAAACTGGGGTCTTCAGAATTCCAAATTCAGCTTCTGATACTGTGCATTAACTTTGAAGAAAAGGATTTGTTTTGGAGGGCATGAAGGGAGAGGTTTTGAATAATAAATTGGTATGTCAGTCACGTATTTCCATGAGAATTTAAGAATTTTAAATCTTTTCTCTGCGCAGTGAAATGCAAGATTCAATGCTTAGGTGTGTCTACTGAGTGGTTTCTCTTACATTGATTTTGTTTTTGCCCTTAAATTTGTCCTACATTGCGTAATTATTGCACAAATGTATTGCCTCAGTATTCCTGTACTGACTTTGCAGATTAGGAGCAGGTCCTACAGCACCAGGACCAGCACACTCTCTCCTCGGTCAGAGCCGCTGCCTTGGCTGCCTTCAGGAAGGGCGTCCCATCTGCCTCCTGCTGGCTCGTTCGTTCCGCACCGCAGACGGAGGAGAATTGGCTCTCTGCAGCCACCGTCCCCCTTAAGGTTCGGTCCAATCAGGACTCCGCGGGAAGGGGCGGGACTGAGTGGCGAGCGGTGTGCTTCTTGCTGTACGTGCCGCGATTGTTTTCGGCATGGAGGAAATTTATGCTAAGTTTGTGTCACAGAAAATCAGCAAGACTCGCTGGCGACCGCTGCCTCCGGGGAGCCTACAGACCGCAGAGACCTTCGCCACGGGTTCCTGGGACAATGAGGTACCCCTGCTCCCAGGCGGGGGAGCCCTGCCTCCTCCCTCCTTCCTAGAGCCGCGCCCCCGGCCGCCGGCGCGCGAACTCTCTCGGCTTTTAGCTCCTCTCGTCCTTCTCTGTCCCTCGAATGCCCGTCTCAGACTTGGTTGCCCTGTACCTCAGAGCCATCGATAGGTTGCCTGAGCCTTGAATCTTGTTGTGTTTTTAATAATCATGCCATTTTCCTGAGATGCTTTTAAAGCAAGGTTGACTGTAGGCAATGCAAATTTTAATTTCAGAGAGTTTGACGTGTGTATCATTTCAAGATAACACTTTCTGCTTTACAGGAAAATTATGTCTCACTGTGGTCTATTGGAGATTTTGGGAACTTGGACTCTGATGGAGGGTTTGAAGGAGACCATCAGTTATTGTGTGATATCAGACACCATGGTGATGTAATGGATTTACAAGTAAGTTTGTGTAATATACAAAAATTAACTTTTAAAATAGTGAAGGTACTACATTTAGAGACGTAAAGGGCCTTAAAGCTTGTCTAGTCTCACCCTGGGTTTACAAGAAACTGAGTTCTCTGTAGGTTATGATTTGCCAGAATCAGGACTGAGGAAGGGGATGCAGAATTAATCCTAGCTTGTTGGTCTGGTTGACCATCTACTATTTACCACGCAGTGTTCGGGGAGCTTTACATAAGTTAATTTAATTCTCACTAACTGCTTGTGAATCAAGTATTGCTATCTCTGTTTTACTAATGAGAAAACTGAGACTAAGATCTTTTGAGCATATACTATGTGATAAATATTATGCAGGGCACTTTACATATTTTTGCTTTTTGAATTTTCATAACAACCACCTAAGTAGAGATTAGTTCTCTGCTTTGCAGGTTTAGCAAGGCTTAGAGAACATAACTTAGCCAAGGTCTAAAAGCCAGTAGTAAGTGGTGGGAATGGGATTTTCAAATTCTGATCTGTATGACTTCAAAGTCCCTGTATTTTGTTCTGTGGAAAATTGCCTAACCCTGGGAATGATACTTTCCTAAACCTTTGCGGTAATGGTCCAAAATTAAATCAATTACAGGTGAACGAGTTTAGAGAGAAAAAAATTAGTTGTTCATTCTTCATGAAAATACTTTTATTTGTATGGACCTATCACATTTTACTTGCTTAGCATTTACAGGCTCTTTGCATTTTAAAATTGTTGTACTACTAAATGAGTTAAACAAATAGGCTTCCTCCTTATGAATATTTATGAATTTATAACAAGCAGGAGTTTTTTGTTTAGTTTTTTGACCAGGAAAGAATTGTAGCTGCCTCATCAACAGGATGTGTAACAGTTTTCCTTCACCATCCAAATAACCAGGTAAAGAACTTTTGTTTGAAAACTGAAACATTTTAATTATTTGCATTTTAATTATTCTTAGGAAGTCTTAAATAAGATTATACTTAATAATGACACAACTAATAAAGTTTTATAGTCTCAAAACATGAAGGAGGAAAATATCTATCTTTTAGTAGATTAATTCTAGGGCTATGTTTGTTTGAACTATGATTGAAATTGGATATCTCTTAAATTCTATTAGATTAGCTCTAGCAATGAAGTATTCTGGCAAGTAATTTTCCTTTAATTCTCTCTTTTAAGATCCTGTTCTGGTCTTTTGAAGAAAGAAAGAGCACCTTCTAGCTCAGGTATCAGGAGAGAGAACAGGAACAGCTGCTTTGCTTCTTTAGATAGAACCTAGGTTTTCACTAGAAGAGAAGACACACTGTATGAAAGGTTGACAGTTTTCTCAATACCTTTCTTGTGTGCTAAAGCCTAAGAGTGCTGAGTGTAGTGATAAGGGCAGCCCTTTAAAATAGCCCAACTTGAGGTAACAGTTTTAAGTTGCTGGAAGAGAATGCTTATTTAGATTTTGGGGTTAGTAAAGGTCATCTTACTCATAGAAGCGCTTGGTAAATATAAGATCTGGATCTTGTTAAGTATTTTTCTTAATGGAGTCATTTGGAAAGCACTACAGAGATTTATCTCTTAGATGTAGGCCAGTTCACTTAAGAATTTAGAGTTGCTTTTGATCACGTAGTTACCTGATACCCAAAAACCATTTTTTTAGCTTGAAGTAAGTTTGGAATATTATAAACAGCCTTTTTGGGGGAATCTAATCTGGTATATACAGAACTTTAATGGAAGTAGCTTCTAGACTTTAATACTTGGAAATGTGAAGGAAAAAGTATTCTTTTTCTAGAAGGGTGTGAGACAGAATTTTAAACATTTTAGTTGGGGAAAGTGGTATTTTTTTGGAGCTTTGGGTTGATTAATCATATCGTCATTTCTGACACCTAGACTCTGTCAGTCAGCCAGCAGTGGACAGCAGCTCACTACCACACGGGCCCGGGCAGCCCTTCCTGTAGCAGTGCACCATGCACGGGTGTTGTGTGTAGCAACCCAGAAATTGTCACAGTTGGAGAAGATGGTCGAATAAATCTCTTCAGAGCTGATCACAAGGAAGCTGTAAGAACTATAGGTAAGAAAAGTCATATTTCTTTTGTCTATCACATGGTAATCGAGCACCTGCTATGTGCTAAGTAAACACAACGCTAGGTGTTTGAGGGATTTAAAAATATACAAAGCAGGATCCCTTTATTAAGACTGTATGTTGATAAGGCATGTATGAAGGTGGGACTAGAGGAAAGAGAAATTTGGGTGAGAGAGCTGGAGGGGATTATCAGATAAAGAATTGAAGGGCAGGTGGCAATTAATTTAATTTAGGGTCTAGACATAAGTAATGCTAAAAGATGGCACACCAGAAAAAGGGGACAGCACGAAAGCAGGGTAAGACCATTCAGAAGATGATAGAAAGTGTAGTTTGACCTGACTTTAGGTATTTGTATAGAAGTGAGAGGTGAAACAAGAAAGGTAAATTGTGGCCAGGATGTCCATCAACAGACGGATAAATAAAATGTGGCATAAACATACAATGGAAAAAAAAAAGTTGTGGCCAGGAGGTATAGAATCTAATGCACAGCTATAGAAGTTACATTTTGTTAGGTGGGCAACTAAGGAGCCATTGAACGTTTTTGAGCAAAGGGTGATGTACTCCCTATCATGCTTCAGAAGGATTGTTCTAGCGTAGTAGTTCTCAACCATGCTCTGCACAGACTTGCCTGAGCTAATTTTTAACAGCCCATCACCTTAGACCTCCTGAATCTGAACCTCTGTGGATTGAGCCCATGAATCAGTTTTTTGTGTTATGATTTTTAGATCTGAGGATCACCATTTGTTTAATTATTAAGGACCATTGCCTGGTGGCAGTTTGGAAGTGTCAAAAAACAAAAGTCCATAAGTATATGCTAAATTATGTGGTATAAACTTAAACATTCAAGGACAAAGAAAAGAACTATAAAAGCATTCAAGAAGGATTTCATGATTTCATGAAGAATAAGATGAGCAGACTTGCAGTGAGTCAGCACTACAAGGTCAGAGTGAACTCTGGAGGAAGCGCTGGAGTTTGGTCCAATAAAATGGAGGCTCTGGGTTACGTAGTGGGAAAGAAAATTGAATATAGAGGAGCTTGAACACCTCTCTCAAAAATGAAGGGTAACAGTGTTAAGTGGAATTAGAAATACGTGAAAACTCAGCCCTCTATTTAAAAAAATAAACAGTTCAGGTGTCCTGTGAGTGATACAGTTTTTCTATCAAAGGAGAGTCCATTTTACATATATATTACTGTGCATTTCTCTATAGAAATTAAACTGTGACTTACTTAAATTTTGCTTGTAATATTGCAGTCAATAGAAGGAATGCAATTTAAGATTTTCATGGAAAAGGCAGACCCATTAACACACACTGCTGTTTTCTTAATTTGTAGACAATGCAGATAGCAGTACCCTCCATGCTGTAACCTTCCTTCGAACACCTGAGATTCTTACAGTAAATTCCATTGGACAGTTAAAAATATGGGATTTCAGACAACAAGGAAATGAGCCCTCTCAGATATTATCACTGTAAGTTTTGATTTGTAATTTCAGTAGTATAAAGCAAAGTTTATTTGATTACTTATAGCAACTGACTTTAAACCATATTGTATTTTAATTGCAAGGTAGAGAATAATCCCTGATTAAATTTAATAAAGCAAATACGGTTGACCCTTGAACAACATGGGGGTTAGGGTCACTGACCTCCAAACACCTGAAAATCTGTGTATAACTTATAGTCACCCCTCTATAATACCCAGAATCTTCTATATCAGAGGCTGCACATCCCCAGATTCAACCAACCGTGGATCATCTGTACAGTAGTATTTACTAGTGAAAAATACTTTGCATATGAGTAGACCCATGTTGTTCAACAGTCAACTATATAATTTGATAAGCTTGAAATTACCATGCTGCATTTAGTAAATATTTGTTGTATTGATTCACAAGTTTTTATTATCTCTTTGAAGTTTATATTATTTAATGGAAAACTTATTTTTTTCATCAAATTAATAGTGGGTGTAATACACTCTAGATGGGATTGGGAGAAAAATAAAATCCAAGGTATTTTTCCAAAGCAGAAATCCCCTTTCTATGTGTACAACCTTATCTTCTCTAATAAGAAAATAACATGTATCAAGCTGAAAAGAAAATTATATAAACTAAGGATTAAATAAGGGAAGCAAAAATATGCTGTTTAGCTGATATGTAATGTTTTTAAAAAGCCAAGAAATGGAAATCTTCTGTATATCATCAAATTATTTTGCTCCTTATGTCTGCAAATTGAAGAAAGAAAGAATAACTTTGGCCTTTAATCCTCTCCCCTCTCCCCAAATTCTAATGTTTAGAAATATATTGAATGTAGTCAGTTTTTTGACATAAGTTCAGCTAGTAGCTCCAACCACAAAGTTACCATTTAGTTACTGGAATGAAACATGTTTCATGGATTATTCAAAGATAAATTATGCTTTACAATTGTTTGAAGTCCTTGTATCTCCCATTAAAGGACTGGTGACAGAGTGCCCCTCCACTGTGTTGATAGACATCCCAACCAGCAGCATGTTGTAGCTACCGGTGGCCAGGATGGAATGTTGAGTATTTGGGATGTTAGACAAGGTACAATGCCTGTGTCCCTCTTGAAGGCTCATGAAGCTGAAAGTAAGTGTTGTGGAGTTATATAAGGTTTTGGTGGGTGAACTGTATGGTATTTTGTAAGTACCTTTCCATAACGATATATATGGATCATTCTACATCAGAGCTTTTGACTGAATTGAATAAATTTATAATAATTAACTAATCTCTTTATATTTGACATTTATATTCTTTAACATGTTTCATTATTACACAGAAAACCATAGTGATTATCCTTATATATTCATCTTTATGTGCTTTTTTCTTAGGATAATTTTTAGAAGTAGAATTGATAAGCCAAAAGTTTGTCATTTTAAAGCTGTGATTCATGTTGTCAGATTGTTCTACATAAAAATAATATCAGTTTATATTGTTATATCCAATATGTGAGAATGCCCTTTTCCTATGCAAATGCAGGCTGTTGATTTCAGTATTTGTTAATCTGTGTGTTCTTCAGTTTGTATTGTACCTTTTTTTTTTCCTTTTAACAAGAACAAAAGATATAAGCTCTTGGTTTTTTTTTTTTTTTCATGTTTGTCTTTTGATTTTGGTGGAGAAATTTTGGCTGAACAGAAATTTTTCATTTTACCACCACATGCCAGCGTGGATTATAGTTTTGAATTCTGATGTAAGAGAAGTTGGTATTAATGCTTGAATAAAAGTATAAAAGAGTAAACATTATACCAGTATTGCAACTTCTCAGTTTAAGTTTCACATTATTACTTTGGGAAGATAAATGATTTTTAAGATATGTAAGAAACAGATAAAAGGATAGAAATTTTTTGCCTCTTCCTGAGATAGCTATGTCCAGGAAAAAAGAATAAAAAGAATAGGGCATGCCCTCAGTCTGATGTTACTACCCAGTGGTAGCAGAATTCCAGACTTTCAGATCTCTTCTTACCTGCTCGTTTTTAACTGCTGGCCTATATTGTTAAGCAAAACACACAGCTGTCATGGCTTGTAGTGTATTTTGAATTCATCCTGACTCTTGGCTAGAAATGAAATAAGATATTTCATAGAGTTTGTTTTCTAATTTGAAAGTACATTAATACACTTTCAATAATATTGAAATATATTCATAACTACATAAGAATGTACATTTGGGCAGTCTGCTAATGGCTCTGCAGGCTGTTTTGTTTCAGTTTTTTTTTTTTGTTTTGTTGTTGTTGTTGCTGTTGTTTCACTTTGTTTTAATGAAACAGTAAGAATGTGCTTTACGCAGGGTCTCACCCAGAACGCATTCTTTTCCTCAGGAGGGTGACCTTTTTGGTTGGTGGCATGACGTTTAATTGTGGTAACTGTCAGAATGAGAATTGCCAGCTTACAAACACGTGCCTTGCACTTTTTAGGCTGCGCTCTGGGCACTTTCTCTGCTGCCTCTTTCAGGTCACCTAACCCAGAATTACAGAACCCTTGTTCACAGACTATACTGTTTTACCTTCATGGTGTAGATAACTTCCTTAGGAGCCTTGGCCAGTCCTGGGCTCCCAGATGTTTATTGGTACACAAAGTTCCCTTAAAGTTTAGGGCTTGAGTCCCTAGTCCCAAGCTGGCTTCTTAAAAGCCCTTCACCTGAAACTGGATCCAGACTTTCGGAGCATTTCCAGGTTTGGGTTTGCTAGAAGCTAGTTGCTATTTCTGTGATACAGGCCAGAAGTATCTAGATCCTGGCATGAGCCAAAATTGGACTCTGCCTCTTAGAAAGTCACTTGTATACTAATTTTATAGTCTTCTCTCTCTGTTTCCAATAATATAATCTTTATAGGTTAATGACACAGGAATTGAAAATAAGAGAACTTAACAATTTTTTAAAAATCTTTTCAGAATTATCCCATTGTCATACTTTCCCATAAAAAAATGTAATAGGTCAGATGATTAGCATTTATTCTCATTCACTTGCTAGCCCAATACACAATTAGATTTACTTGGCTTTTTTATCCTATATACATGTTACAGCCATTTGGAGAGCTATATTATGTCTTCTCTTTGATTTTGAAGCCTTTGATTTTTATCATAGGCGTGAAATTTGAAGGTGTGTGATGGAGGTTAATTGAAGATGATGTCTAGAGACAGGTTTTTTGTGTTTATTCAACTTATATCTACACAGGAATAAGCTTCCTGGTTCTTATCTTTTAGTGTGGGAAGTTCACTTTCACCCATCCAATCCAGATCATCTATTTACTTGTTCTGAAGATGGATCTCTCTGGCATTGGGATGCCTCCACAGATGGACCTGAGAGATCATCACTCTTTCACCAAGGTAAAAAGTTTTAATGAAGATTCTTGTATGTAACTTTATTATGTTTTTAAAACATCAGAGTACAAATTCTCATATTGTTAACATTAAGGAATGACAAAAATGTTTCCACCATCTGGCCTCAGGGTGAATTCTAGTATCACAGAGCTTGCAATCTGACTGTCAGCCACTTACTGCCATACTGCTCATGACTAGAAATGCTATCAGGTGGCTAACTGCACATAGCCAAGGGTCTTATTTGTGAGTACCTGTTCTGGGCCCTCATGCCATAAGATGGGCACTGATAACTCTTATGTTACATTGTCAGGGGTGTATGGCAGGACAAAAGTCGGTCTGTTATGTATTAAGGTACTGCTTTCTCCTCAGACTAAAAGACCCTGTCTCCTGATTAAAGACAGAGGCAAGTAAAGGTCAGCCAGAAACTATATACTTAAAATCAAGGAGTATTTCTGTTTCTGTTTTGGCATGTCCTAAGCTTCCTTTTTTTGAGTTTGTCTGTGGTTCCAAAGTTTATTCGTTCATTCATTCAGCAAACATTTATCAGATGCCTGCCACATACTGGCACTCTTCTAGCTGTTAGAGCCCACGACAGTGAGCAGAAAAGCCTCAAGGCACATAGAGCAAATATTCCAGTAGACAATAAATAAATAGATAGTGTTTCAGCGAAAGTCCAATCAGAAAAGCAGAACCTATCCTAGATTTAGAGGAATTGGTTTCACGTGGGTTAGAAGAGCTAGAAGAACAAAAGGAGGGATGCTGGAACGGCAAACAGCAAAAACGAGTAATGCCCAGATATCAACAGTTGTTAGCACCTCTGCTGCTGTGCTGTTGGAAGTGCTGTCAAAGTTGGCCTGGGTCAGCAGAAAAGGTGCCACCTCAGCTGGGGCTGGTATTACTGCCCATGTGGTCGTTGCCAAAAACCTGGAGCTGCTCCCCTGGTCTGCCTTCCCATCACCCACAGCAGTATCTCCCATGGGCAGGGTCTGCCTGGAAGGCAGATGGCAAGGGAACCTGGAAAATGGAGTTTGTCCGTATGATACATAGCAGAGCATAGAAAAGTAGGAAAGGAGACTGAGAGTAAAAAGGAAAAGAACTGGACCAAGTACCCTGATGACTATGAGGAAGTGAAGCAGAGTAGGGGGGTAAAGAATTAATTGGGGGAGAGGCCGCTTGGCAGAGAGAACATCAGAGCAGAGACCTGAAGAAGTGAAGTTGTGAGTCATAGGAAAGCACTCCAGGCAGAGGAAACAGCACATTCCAAGGGCCTGAGACAAAATGGCAAGGAGGCCACTTGGCTGCAGCTCAACATGCGGGCGACAGGTGGGGGTTGGCTGAGGAGCAGGACTTTGGAGACTGTGATAAGGACTTTAGATTTTATTCCAAGGGTGATAGAAGCTACTGGAAATTTTTGAGCAGGGGAGTTGCATGATCTGTCTTATGTTTCCAGAGAAACTAATAATTTTATCTAAGGATTAGCTAAGCACTTGGTGTTTATTTTTCTACTCTTATGCCCACTGTCTTGCATTTGAAATTTTACTGTTTGAAGAACTTGGTTAGACTGGAAGTAGCCTTTGTCTAGTATTGCAAGGGACAATACTAGACTGTGAAAAGGTAAAATAATCTATGCAATGTGCTCTTGCAAAATAAGTGAATGAAATCATGATCTAAGACATGTTATAAGGTAGTAAATTTTTTTTTTTAACGGAGGCACTGGGGATTGAACCCAGGCCTTCTCATGCTAAGCATATGCTCTACCACTGAGCTATACCCTACCCCACATAGGTAGTAAATGATTAGTGATGCATACAAGTGTTGAGGGTTCCAGGAAAGAAAAGAGAAGCATGAACTAGTCATTTTCAAATTCTTCTTAGAAAAGGAAGTTGAGCTGGACTTTGAAGAATCAGCAAGATTTAAACCCATAATCTTTAAGTTTCAAGATATCAGGGACTTTACCTTTTTCATTCCCAGCACTTAGCCCAAAGCCTGGCATATAGTAGATACTCAGCCATTTATTAAATAAATGAAATCTGTCCTTATTTGGTCTGGCAGAAAGTTGAGAGGAAAGAAAATTGCAGATGATGGCTAAGATTGAAATATACTGCTTCTGTACCACTTAATCCTCTATTAAATACAGAGCACTGTCAGAGATAAAAGTTTATAATCTGGTAGTGTTCTAAAATTCTACTTTTAAGAACATTTACCTAACATAAAGGCTAACAATAAAAGATCTAAAGCAAGTTGATTATATTTTTAGAAGTATGGAAATAAATATATTTTTAGAAATACATCCAGAAGTTTTCTCATGATCACTTCATTTTTTGATTACCTAAGAGCTTAGATTTCTATATATTATCTTCATTTTAAATCTCTTTTTCCCTTACTGTCTTTTGGCCATTTTGCTACATTTCTGAGGCTTTTCATTAAAGAATAAACAAGAAAACAGGGTCAAAATGAATCTTCTGCTTTACTGAAGATTTCAGGTTTGACAGCCATAGTATCCCATGGAAACTTGAGTATTTAATACCCCTAAATAAACCTTTGGTCAAAAATTGTGCTGTATAATATGGAATTATCAGCCTGTTAGTCTTGAGAATTAAAACATGTTTAAATCATTGCCTTTTAAAAATACTGGAATTTCAGGTGTTTACTAGTATAAAATTAGTCTTGAAAGATGTTTTTCCCTCTTCTTTTTTTCCCTCAGGAGGAAGAAATAGTACTTTTTTGTCTCACAGCATTAGTAACCAGGCTAATGTTCACCAATCTCTGATAAGCTCCTGGCTCAGCACTGATCCTGCCAAAGACCGTATTGAAATCACAAGCTTGCTTCCCAACAGGACTTTGTCTGTGAACAGTTTGGATGTTTTAGGTCCTTGTCTTGTTTGTGGAACCGATGCAGAAGCAATTTATGTTACTAGACAGCTTTTTTCATGAAAATACTATAAGATTTCATGTAAAACATACAGTTGGAACCTTTTAAATTCCAGCTTCTATGCAAATTTTTATTATTGGAAAATGTGAAATTTGCAGGGGAAGCATCCGTAAACTGTTGTTAATGTCGATGCCCAGTTTTGGCTTTTGTTAACTGAATCCTGCTCTAACAGTCGCTAGAGTCTGATTGATGACTGATGGCAAAATAATTGGAATGTATGGAAGAACATCAGAGAAATCCTTGTGGTCATAAATGTACTGCCTTCAAACAGACAATTCTGGACAGCTTATGGAATCAGCTCTTCATTTTTTGATGTTGTAGGGCTTAATAATGTCATACAATTTAATAATAATGCTACCAAGGAGTTCCTAGCCTTTTTATAAACAGTATATGGGGCATATCGCTCCCTGGTGGCATTAGCCAATGTTAGTATTTATTCTTTTTACTGCAAGTATTTTCTTCAATTCTTCCACATTTTATTTCATTAATAATTTCAATACACTTTTTCCAGAAAGAATTGTGTAAAGCAAAATTGACAAATTTTTGTAGTGTTCAAATTTTTTTAAAGGTGAAAATGTTTTGACAGATTCTCTTAGAATGGATTTGAACAGAACTCTGTCAACTTTATTTTTATTAAAAATAAAGACCCAACTTTATTTTTATTAAAAAGAAAAAAGACAAATACATTTTTTTCTAAGGATTTTTGCTCTTATTTGATTTTACAACATAGTTGAAAATTGCTGAACTGGATATTGTACAATAAAATAGAACTTGACATTGATAAGTGAGCCAACTTTCGAACTTAAATTTAGCAGGTAACTGGTATGATGATGCAGTAAGAGTAAAGAGTTTTGCCATCTTTATCCTTATCCAAAATGTTAATGATGACCTAACATGTAGTGTTTTAAGATAATTTTATGATACTGCCTCTCTAAAGTTTGTTAGATTAAATGCATTATTGAATTGATAAGACCTTAATGACAAATCACTCGTATTACACAATTGAAGTGTATGTCTATTTACTTTACAATTCCAATAATAGTAATTTTCAAGTTTTGTTTTTCTGCCCCAATAAGTATTTTCAATTTTTTTATGCCACCTTACCTCAGGGTTTTTTGAGTTTTGTTTTTTTGTTAACATTTTAAAATGGAGTACATATACACATCTGCTGTATACATTTGGCTCAAAAATATTTGATTAAAGATAATTAGTATCTTTGAGTTTCAAAGAATTCGAGAAGGAAAGAAAATATTGATAATAGGAATATGTAATTTATTTATAGTTTTATTGCTGGGACTAATTTTTAAACTTCCTGTTATTACAAAAAGTCATTCATTACAGAAAAAAACAATCAAAAGAAAAATTTAAGTACTTATAATCTCAAACAGAGATAATTTGTTTCATACCCTTTTCTGTCCATCAATGTATATAATTTTTTAATGCAGTATACCATACATGTTATATTTGTGGATGCACATTCTTTAGCAGTAAACACATGGATTCAATAATAAAAATATAGCTAAGAATTTTCCTTTGACTTTATATTTCCCTTTGTATGAATGTCTTGCTGCAGTGTCCCTCTCTTCACCCAGTACAGGACCCCTCCCATTCTATGCAAGAGGCTAACATCCTTGCTTTGAGTGGGCCCAAAGCTGATCTCACTCCTGGAAGACCCTAGTTCCCAGGTGGCACATTTTCCATGTTCAGTGAATGGCAAACTTGTGCCTCCGCTGTGATCCGTTATTATTTGTTGCTGAAAAGTTTAAAGGTTTCACCTTCTCAGCACCCTCTTCAGTTTCCAGCAGCGATGTATACAATTTCCCTTGATCCTTTTAGTAAATAATTGGTAGACAGAGGAAACCAGCCATATAGGCTTAGAATACTAACTTGGACTGGAAACAAGTTTTAAGTTTAAAGCTTTGCTTTGCTTTAAGCGTATTTGTAACAGTAAATAAGAGACAGTACATTTGAATAGTGTTACATTTTCAATCAGTTGATGAGTTTTGCTAGATTTAATAAGAAACATAAGCTTTATATAGTATAAATAAAACCCTAATATATGAATTTGTTCATTGTCACTTACTGCCTTTATTCATGAAACTATCAACTAGAGTTTTTTGAGGGCTGTAGGAACTCAGAGGTGGAAGATAGCTCAGAGGGCATCCCAACCTAAATTTAATCATCACTTCCACAGCATTCCCAGCCAATTATCCAACTCTACTTGAAAATGTACCATGATCAAGTTTCCCATTTCCCAACGCAGCCTCCACATTTGGACAGCTCTGATAAAGCATTATGGCAGGGTTTTCATGTGTGAGTGGTATCCCAAACAATTCTATAAAAAAGGGTAGAATCATGTTATTGTGGGTTAATGAAATGATCATGGGAACCTACTATAAGACAGAACCAATCACCAGTCAATTTAAATTTGCATTATGTTGGGGTCTTTTACTATAAGATTTCACTAAATAAATGAATGTTCACGTAAACTGAAATTTGCTTTCGCTTGTCTTCTTTCATCAGGAGGCACAAAAAATTTTTCAATTTCTTTCATCATATATTCAAATATTGAAAATACAGATTGTAGCTTCTTTGGGGTAAGCTTTTAAAATCCCTTCAATTGTTTCTTGTGGGCAAGGTTCCCTTCCCCGCCTTTCTTGCCTTTCTTGGCTAAATCCTGCATACCCTTCTGGACTCCTTTGAGGTGTCATTTTCTCAAGAAAGCCTTCCCTTGGCTAAATTGCAGTCTGCATCAAGAGCCCATTGTGCAGATCTTTTATTGTGCTTACAGCCATTTGTGAAGGCAGGCTGTCTCCCTCTGCTGGACCACAAGCTCAAGAACAGAGCCCATATCTGAGTGTAGCAAGCACTGAATCAGTGTAAACTAAACAACTCACCCTTTAAAAAATACCTCATTTGCCAAAGGCCATCATTAAAGTGTGACTTCCAAAATGAACACTTTTCCAGTGGTGTCTGCCTTGCTGAGAGTATGACAGAAATCTATTCTGGTTCTGGGTACAATATTCCTCTGCAATGCTGTTTCAGCTATTCTGACATTTGTTCAATTAGACTGATGACTAGTTGAACTTAAACCCTTAATTTTTCATACCTGATACTCCCTTAGCCATAGTTCCGTATTCTTGAGTTCATGCAGGTGGTTTTGATCCTTTGCTGTTGGTCAATGCTCCTGTTTAAAAAGACAGATTTTATTTCACTGTAGGAAAGAACTAACAGTCATGATTGAATCTTTTCTGCAGAAGCTGATCATTTTCAGAATTTCCCAACGTGTTCTCCCCACGAGGAGATAGGTTAAATGGACTGAGTGCATAGGCCCACTCCTAGAGTCTTCCCAATTATCAGTGGCACATGAAACGCTGGTATTTGGCTACTGCTGTGAAATATTTATAAACCAACCTAATTTATTGACATTCTGCCCCATTCATTTATCTTTTTCACAAGGCTACTGTGAGAAAACACCTGTGCTATAGCTATCATCCTACCAAAATTTTGGCATAATTGAAAAATTCCTTGTCCTTTGTGAATAACACCTCTACTTCATAGTATTGTGGAAACATCCTTCTAATAATCCATTCTGGAACTTGTCCAAGAAGCATACTAAGTTCACTTGTGTATAGTTTATATCAAGCCTTCATTTAAGCTTATGGTATCAATATGGTATCTAGCTTAGACTAATTAGATGGTCTGAAGAGTAGCAGTACTCTTCTTTTACAGATAATGAAACCTGGGGAGATCCAAACTATGATAGGCAACTGTTTAAACTTTCACTGGTATTATTCTGAATGGCAATTAATGTTAAGTGGCAATATAGAATAAAATAACTAACAGCCTAGACTGCAATCATCTTATCATCAGAACAGTTTCAACATTTCACTACATTAGAAGAGAGAGAAAACCACGAAGGGGGTGGGACTGAGAAGAGAGAAGTAGAATGACTGGACTCTAGCTGATCAGGTAAAAAAAAATTAATTAAAAATAAACTAATGTTCAATTCCAAATTGTCATGACTGGACTTTGAGGGGACAGTAGCTGAGAGACCAGCCTAGCACTGCCATCAGAAATGCATCAACTGTCAAAACAATTTTTGTACAGGCTACGGATATAAGAAGCTAAATTGTAATACTAGACTGTAAAATACTAGCTGCAACAAATCAAAACACAGATCTTACCCCTGCGTAGTATGAAATCAATTTTAATTTTAAAATTTCTTAGCCAGAGGTATCTCACAAACAAGGATTACCCCAGTAGCCATGAACATGCCTAGAACCCAGATTTGGTTTGTAATACTGTTCTCCAATAAAAGGAACCAGGGCTCCTTGAAGGGGCAGGAAATAAAATAGGTGGCTTGTAGCATCTTGTAGCACCAGAAAGTAATAAAGTAAAAAAAAAAGCCCACAATGATGGCAGTGTTATAGAGACACAGAAGCTAACTGGAAGAGCTCCAATAGCCAAAGCTGGAACAATTTGATCAACAAAATATAGAAAATATCCAAACTATTAAATAAATATCCATGAGTCCACACTGATAAGAATAAATGTTTGAATGAAATGGACAAGAGACAAGTCTGCTCAGAGTTCCAAATAATTTATGTAGATTCTCCACTCTCAAGGAGGTGTAATACCATTCTCCACTCCTAAGTGTGGTCTGCTCAATCTAGAGACTTCCCCTAAGATAGTATGAATTCGTGGGAGGGCCTGTGTTCTCAGGACCACATTGCTCACCAGGCTTCTTCCATGTGTGCTGCCTCTGTTCCTATAGTCACCCAAGCATGAAATTTGGCCCCCTACACCCATTGATAAAAATAAAAGGAAATAAAAAATCCCTATTCAATGAAGCATTGAAGAGTTGAGTAGGCTGAAGCTGGACCAAAGATTTTCCATCACAGCAATACAAAGACCTTTAAACACAATGGCAGATACTGCCATTCTTAGACAGCCAGCACCTCTAGTAAGCATTTCCCTGGTCTTTCACCTCCACCCCTTCGCAGAGTCTCAGTTACTTTTCATCTTGGTTGGTTCTTCTCTCCTGACCATGCCCTCTCTCCTTTCCCTGCTCTTTTCTTCCCCTACTTCACAGGAGTAAACCTCTTGGTCCTACCAGAGCAATTTAATGAGCTCCTTGAATTATCTTGGAATTCTCCCAAAGACAGTAGTTTTTGGAGATACCTGCCTTTAGGTTTAGAGAGAATTGAATAGCTTAAATGAAGAAGTTCTGAGGGTTGGTGACAGAGGTGACAAAGTGTGGGAGGCAGTATGCTGTTCCAGATATAGAATCCTTCTGGAAAGGGCAAGCAGGACTCTGAACATACTAGATTCATATAACTCATGCAATTTTGAGGCTGAAAGATACTTCGCAGGTTACCCAGTTATCCAGTTGAAGAAAGTAAGACCTAAGGCTATTAAGTGATTCACTTTGTCCTATCTTCTACAAACTCTGTGCTTGTGAAATACAGGTTTTCAACCAAGTGGAATGTAATCTTTTAACAGAGGTTTTCACATTTGAACTCTGGATACAGTAGCCGGCAACAAATTCAACATGGGGGGGGGAGTCTTTAATTGAAAAAAAAAAGTTATAGTTAGTCTCTAGTAGAAAAATGATGAAAGGAGATATTTGAAAAGACTAACTGCATATATTTTCTAGAGGCAGAATTGGCAAAGGCGCTCTTTAGAAAGAGTGGACAGGCCCTTCAAACATCATACACCCAATGACCCCACCCCCAACTTCCAATTCAATTAAACAAGAAATAAAGCCTCTTCTCTCAGTCACCGTTATTCCAATTATAGCAATAATGACTTCCTCTTCTTCAGATTCAGTTGACAGATTAAAAATCTCTTAACTCTTTGGTCGGTTCTGGTTCGAGAATGTATTCATCTGGCTGATTCATAAAATACTTAAACTCACAGATTTACGTGGGAAAAGCAAAAATCAATTTATTTCAAAGCCACCAGAAATCTCGAATCCCGATGTCCACAGCGAGGTGTCAGAGAGCAACACACTGCTGTTTCCTTTTGAGAAATAAACTCCAGATGCTCGTCTTTTATTCTGTATTCGTCCATAGAAAGAGCTCAATTGAAAAAAGAGAGACATTGAAATAAATGAGTGGGCTTGGGAGAGGGAGAGCCTGACACCACCAGCCGGGGCGTCACCTGGGCAGCGCAAGGCGGGGACGACGCGGGGCGACGCGGGGCGACGCTC